TGGAACATTTCTGGGATCTTTTATTTTAGCTCATGAAACATAGGACCAACGCTTTACATGTTGCGTTTATATTTTTGTTCAGTGTATATGCACAATTTCTACCATTGTTTCATAGACAGGTGAGAGCTACAGATTCCCTTCAATATTGATGCCAACAAAATAAATGTCCAGTGATCAACACTGCTTTGTGTATTACAAACTGTCTAGTAGTCTATTTCATAAGCAAATTCACCTGTCAATACACACATCATTCACATCTGTGACAATGTCAACAGTAGGGCCGTCAATCATCAGCTTCAAAAAGACACTACTTTCAAGGATCAAGGCGAGCTGCGAGGCATGCCTGCCTCAACACATCACGATGATCTCACACAGTAGTCGCCACTGTAACTTAGTCACCTCAGACAGCTGAGCATTTACACAACATCATCGTGAACTCTTGACTAATTTGAGCATGGAGGCTAACATTGGATTCTTTATGACACACTGGAGAGACACTGATGCCTATGGGATGTAAGGAGATGATTTGTTTCATCAACTAGAATCCACTAAAGGGAGTAAGAGACAACTGATTGACATTGACATTCACAGCCAATAACTGACTTAATGTGAGTGTATAACCGGTTTGAGAAGTTTATTGAAAAGAGCAGGACCTCTAAATTATAACACCAATGACTTGTATGTGTTATGTAGAAGGAACATTTATATCAATATGCACCCCATTCCAATGCACCAGAAGTGTTAATATTATGTAATGTGGCTACAAGTGAGGCCAAAAGTAATTAGATAGTGTGCTGTCTGTGCATGCTCTTCTTTGGTCCTCTTTTAAATGAAAGCACGCAAAGAAGTGAACCATGAACTATCAGGTAGCTTAGTGGTTAAGAGCGTTGTGCCAGTAACCGAAAGGTCGCTGGTTCTAATCCGAGCCAACTAGGTGAAAAATCTGTCGATGTGCCCTTGAGCAAGGCACTTAACCCTAATTGCTCCTGTAAGTCGCTCTGGATAAGAGCGTCTGCTAAATGACTAAAATGTAAATGTAATCAATGTCTTTTGGATGGGATGTTAAACGGGTGTCCTGACTCTCTGTGGTCACTGAAGATCCCATGGCACTTATCGTAAGAGTAGGGTTGTTAACCATGGTGTCCTGGCTAAATTCCCAATCTTGCCATCATGGCCACCTAATCATCCCCAGCTTCCAATTGGCTCATTCATCCCCCCTCTAACTATTCCCCAGGTCATTGCTGTAAATGAGAAGGTGTTCTCAGTCAATTTACCTGGTAAAATAAGGGATAAATACACATTTGCCCCAATGTCGTGAAATATGTATAGTGTCTTCCACATCTCTGGCTACAGGACCATTGTGATGCTTATTGCCCAGCGTGGGATTGATGGAGGCACACAATCAAGAAGGAGTGATGCTCCCAACAAAGTCTACATAACAAAGGCACACTAACAACATGACAACTGGATGTAATTTTGCGCCTATGAATGACTAACCCCTGAGCATAAAAAATTGCAGCTGTAAGAAGTTAAAGGAGCAATCAACAATTGCTACATCCATGTTTGGACTAATAGATTAATGAAATGTACCCATTGATTCTTGAAGAATACAACAACTGTCTCATTAGCTTAGTCCAATTGTCGTATGCCATCAGAACCCGAAATATGAACTTGTTTTACTCCCATGTTGGTAAACAACTAAATGTAAACAAACACTATATAGCCCCAAAACATGGTTAAAACTATAATTTGATATCATGTGTTGAGTCAGTCCTTGCATCCATAGCTCTGTCTATACATTTGAGATTGTTTACATTTCTCCAACCCCATCCCTCAGCCTTTTACTTAAACAGGGGTGGGGAATACACTTTGATACTGTTTCTGCTGCTGATTGCCTGCATTAAACAAATCAAGATCTAGGCTACTATCTATATCTTGCCCATAGATTATTGAATTGAGTTAAAGCTGCAATATGTAACTTTTTGGGTGAACCAACCAAATTCACATAGGAATGTTAGTTATAAATCTGTCATTCTCATTGAAAGTAAGTCTAACAAGCGGTAGATCTGTTCTATGTGCGCTATTTCTATGCTTCCCGTTCTTAAGTTTCGTTTTTGCGTCTTTTACTTCCGGTTTTGTACCCCAGCTTCAAACAGCTTAAAATACAATATTTTTGGTTATGGAAAATATATTTCACAGCAGTTTAGATGGTACAATGATTTTCTACACTATACTTGCTTGTTTTGTGACATAAAGTGAAATTATGCGAACTATTATAATTTTTGTAACCAGGAAATGGCGAAGCGATTTCTGCATAGTTAATAAGGGGAGTTTGGGTTATTAGGTTATTGTGGCATTCCCATCTACTGGAAACAATTACAAAAATGCTATCCTTCACAACTTTCATTTTTTCTCTCCAGATTGAAAAAATATAGTTGCCTAAAGGATAGTTTATAGGCCTAGTATTTCAAAGAGATAAATTAACCTTATCTGGTTGACCTGAAGTTTGTGAGAGAGACTTGAATGTGTCATCCACTGACTTTCCCATCGAGAAAACGGTGATATAGTTAGGCTACAGGTTACGTTTGTACTATTTAGGGTCCGCGCAAGTCCAAAGAATATGCTACGCCTAAGACTATCTACAGGTAGCTACATATTCCAAATTAAAGATACAAATATAAAATCAAATAAATAACTTACCTTACATGTAAAACTTACTAAGTGCTTTGAGGACGCACAGACGTAGCCTAATGTGCTAAAAGCACAAGTCAGGCTAGTCTGCCATCTCCCGAAAATTCACCGACAATAACCTATTTGTTTTGATTCCTTCAAATGCAAGATTCCAGTTTCAGCCGACATTGCCCTTCGACTTCGATACAATGTTACAATTTAACGAACGTTCATCATTCAAAGTAATACAATGTTGCGGTCAGTAACTTCGCAGGCGTTCCATAAACTTTGGCGTTCTTCACTCGATATTCGTATGGAGTGAAGCTACTATACCGCAATTCCTAGGAGGAAGTAGGCCTGCAACTCACTGTAATTAGAGGACCATTACAACATCATTTCCTCTGGGCATATTCCCACACCAGCCACCTAGGTAGGCGGTCACCTATGATATTTGAATTTGAAGTGTATTCTTTTTCAATCTCATATCTGTCTTGAAAAACATGCATGTTAGGAAAACATTATATCCTATGTTCAACAAATTGTCATCCATGAGACTTACATTCAAGAAACAAATCCCTGAATAGGCTACTTTAGACAACATAAGGAGCCATTATATATAAAACCTTACACCTATCAAATCGTTTTAGATCAGAGAAGGGAGGAGATAAATATGTTTTTTTCATCCGCTGCATTGCAATCGCCTCATACGAGACATCATGATCTCGCGAGTATAGTGAAACAGAACGTGAGCTCGCGAGATCAGGATGGCTCGTACGAGGCTAAAATTGCAAGCCCATTCATTGAAAATTAGCCTAATGTTTGAAGACTTGGCGTAATATAGGTCTAATTAGAAGGTCTTCAAATAATAAAGAAGATCAAATATATATATATATTTTTAAAAAACAATATTTAATATATATATATATATATATATATATATATATATATATATAAATATATATAGTGGGTTATGGACAGGCTACAATAACTTGCAAATAAAGGGTTCAAATCAAATCAAATGTATTGGTCACATACACATGGTTAGCAGATGTTACTGTGAGTGCAGCGAAATGCTTGTGCTTCTAGTTCCGACAGTGCAGCAAAATCTAGCAAGTAATATCTAACAGTTCCACAACAAATACCTAATACACACAAATCTAAGTAAAGGAATGGAATAAGAATATATAAATATATGGATGAGCAATGTCATTGTCAGAGCAGCATAGGCTAAGATGCAATAGATAGTACAGAATACAGTATATACATATGAGATGGGTAATCCAAGATATGTAAACATTATTAAGATAGTATAGAATACAGTATATACAAATGAGATGGGTAATGCAAGATATGTTAACGTCATTAAAGTGGCATTATTAAAGTGACTAGTGTTCCATTTCTTAAAGTGGCCAATGATTTTCAAGTCTGTATGTAGGCAGCAGCCTCTCTGTGCTAGTGATGGCTGTTTAACAGGTTGGGTGGATTATTCCTAATTTCAATATCTTTATTTTCATTTAATAAACAGTAAAAAATTAAAAATAAAAATAATAATCTCAGCTCTGATTGAAAGGAATTTCACATCATTTCTGTTTTTAAACTCATTCACGACAAGCGGTTCTTGAAGACGTCCCTAAAATGTCAACGTTCCAGCCCTGTTTCCATGGTAACAAAACTTTGGGCACAGTCTGCTGGGCACAGTCGGACGTTTGTCTTGTCACTCGTTGCAAGCTAGCTGTAAACCCATACTCAATTTTCTCCGCGCTCTTTGCCAGTGTCCAGATTTGCAACCGCTGTATAGCTGGAGATGTAAGTAATGTTTTGCAATGATTCTTGAACACCACATTGCCTTGCTGGTTACCCACCTACCTACACTTACATCATTGTGCTAAAGCGAACACCTATACTGTTACTGTTAGCTAGCGGCGAACTAGCTAATGCTAGCTGGCAACGCCTTATTGCTAAGCTAACGGTAGCTAACTAGCTAGCCATTTGGCCAGCAGTGGCAAGGATGACAATGTACTGCGTTCTTTTTCCATCAGAAAGACAACAGTAGACATGGACACTGACACAGATCGCCAACAAAACAACAATGGCAAGTAACTTACAGAGGGTCATCAAATGTGCAAAGTTCACTAATAAAAAAAAGCTAACTAACTGTTACCGTTGTACTATCTGTAGGCCCACCCTACTTACCCTAGCTAACTAACTGGCTAGCTAACGTTACAGCTCTTATGCTAAACGAGCGCCTCTAAAAATGTACCAGGTGAAGGTCTTAGTTGAAGTAGCTAGCGAGCTTGAAGCGAGACATAACATTGTGTTTGTGTTTTTAGGCGTTAACAATGGTGATGATTGTTCAACAAAAGCTGCCCCGACCTCCCAGATTCCTGGGCTGTCTGAAGATGCTAACAATGGTCCTGAGGAGAGGGGTAAAGGGCGCCGTACGGGAGTTAATGAGTCCGATTCTGCTTATACTAAACTGGCTAAACAAGGAGGACAGAGGGGTAAAAACGATATTCTGTTTTAAATGGAAATATCACACATTATTATTATTATCTATTCTTTCATCTGTGGAAATAGTCAGTTAATGTTATATCTAGCTATCTGTGTCGATAGGAAAAGGACACACCCCATCCAGATAATTGGAAGGATGGCCACGCGAGACCACTAATGTTAGCTAGCTAGCTAACTAGCAAATAGCTAGTATACAAAATGAATAGCCAAGTTCCTCTCATCATTTACAGGTCTATTGTGGCATGAGGAGACCAACTTGGACACCAAACCTAACACTGCGTCATCTTACAAGGCTCCTAACTGGTTCTCTGGATCTCCAAAAGCTAAAGAGCAAGCAAGGTAAAGGCAAATTTAAAAGGAGAATAATGACAGTCTGCAATAAATAAATAAAATGTATTTGTGCAGGCAGTTTGTTAGCTTGTAATTTTATGCCTACTTGGCTAGGCCAAGTTGGATTGTTTGCATTGATAATTCAAAATGCATATTTGTTTGTGGTTGTATGGCATGTACCCCATTGTAAAACAGGGGTGTGTTCAGTTTATTAAACGTTTTGCTACGTTGCGTGATGGTTTGTACCGAATGACACGTTTCCCACAAACAGTGCACACTTTAATTCAACAGCCTTTGTATGTTTGCACCCTTTTGGTGGAGGTGGCGAAGTGTGGCCAGATCAATATGGGTGTGGTCACCATTTGAAAACTCATGCAGCACACTGTAATGCATACATGATCGCCCTCTGGGCCACCGTTATCATCACAACATTCTTCAACTGGTCGTTCAGAACGTCCGTTGTATCAAACATTGCACACCGTTGAGTCCTGCTGAACGCAGCCCTGTTATACCAGCTAAGTCTATTAGTATAATGGGTTGTTTGTCCATTTTTCTTTCTTCCAGCCCAACTGAGAGTTTCCAAAACTACATGTCAACTAATGCTCCTTTTGGGAGTGATAATAAGTCAACTTGGGAAAGGGACTTTGATGACAAAGAGAAGGTGAAGGGAGAAATCCTTGCAATTTCCTAAAGCAACTGTAACAATATTTCACCCTTCATATTGTGCTACTATAAATTGAGTTTATAGTTTATTCTTAGTTGTTCGAAGTACAGTATGCAGACAGACCTGTTTAGAGGATCTAGATTTACTGATCTATTTCAGACATTTACCTTTTTTGTCAGCATTATATCACCTGCCTAGTATCATGAAAAGCTAAATGTTTTTGGCGCAGTAAAAATAATAATAATATTAGCTAACAATTAATAGAGTTCTCAGACTTAACACCTACCGTATCCTGAAAACGTATAACCAACCACTTTACCACTATCTTTGGCTATGTCCACCATTGTTGCTGAAATGTATTTGGTTAGCATCAAATTGTCACTGACATTTACCATATTTAAATTATTCTAAATTTATAAGATTCCTCTCTTGCAGTTGCATGGATAGAGTAGAAAGTGACCTAGTATGTCCAATAGAGGCCAACGTTACCAACTGAAATAGGGGGTTTCATCTCTTGTTCCATCCATCTTTCATCTCAGTTCAATCCTGACATGATTCCAGATGATAAATTACTATTCAAGACACTTTGTTTTTGCTGTCAGATATCTCCCAACAGCCAAATGGAGAACTTGTCCTTAGCATCAGGAAAGAATGAAGAGGCAGCAGGCAATTTCAAGAAAACGTGAGTACCCCCTTTGAAATATTTGCACCATACATCCACAAGATGGCAATGTTCTATTTTTCATGCACAGCGGAGTTGTGCCTCTCCAGACAGCTTGGGCAACTTGACAATAGACTCAGTCATATATTTACATTCAAATAATCAATGTCAAATAGAAATAGAGATTTCAAACACACATGACTTCAGTATGTAATTCCTACTGATTGTTAATGATATGGGATTCTTTATACTGTGAGGATACAAAGAATGATATACAGTGCCTTTGGAAAGTATTCAGACCCCTTGACTTTTTCCACATTTTGTTACGTTACAGCCTTATTCTAAAATTAATTAAATTGTTTCAATCTACACACAATACCCCATAATGACAAAGCAAAAACTGGTTTTTAGAAATTTTTGCAAATCTATAAAAAATTAAAAAATGGAAATATCACATTTACATAAGTATTCAGACCCTTTACTCAGTACTTTGTTGAAGCACCTTTGGCAGCGATAACAGCCTCGAGTCTTCTTGGGTATGACGCTACAAGCTTGGCACACCTGTATTTGGGGAGTTTCTCCCATTCTTCTTTGCAGATCCTCTCAAGGTCTGTCAGGTTGGATAGGGAGCGTCGCTGCACAGAAATTTTCCGGTCTCTCCAGAGATGTTCGATCGGGTTCAAGTCCGGGCTCTGGCTGGGCCACTCAAGGACATCCAGAGACTTGTCCCGAAGCCACTCCTGTGTTGTCATGGCTGTGTGCTTAGGGTTGTGGTCCTGTTGGAAGGTGAACCTTCGCCCCAGTCTGAGGACCTGAGCGCTCTAGAGCAGGTTTTCATCAAGGATCTCTCTGTACTTTGCTCCGTTCATCTTTGCCTCGATCCTGACTAGTCTCCCAGTCCCTGCCACTGAAAAACATCGCCACAGCATGATGCTGCCACCACAATGCGTCACCGTAGGGATGGTGCCAGGTTTCCTCCAGACGTGACGCTTGGTATTCAGGCCAAAGAGGTCAATCTTGGTTTCATCAGACCAGAGAATCTTTAGATGCCTTTTGGCAAACTCCAAACGGGCTGTCATGTGCCTTTTACTGAGGAGTGGCTTCCGCCTGGTCACTCTACCATAAAGGCCTGATTGATGGAGCGCTGCAGAGATGGTTGTCCTTCTGGAAGGTTCTCCCATCTCCACAGAGGAACTGTGGAGCTCTGTCAAAGTGACCATTGGGTTCTTGGTCACCTCCCTGACCAAGGCCCTTCTCCCCCGATTGCTCAGTTTGACCGGGCGGCCAGCTTTAGGAAGAGTCTTGGTGGTTCCAAACGTCTTCCATTTAAGAATGATGGAGGCCACTGTGTTCTTTGGGACCTTCAATGCTGCAGACATTTTTTGGTACCCTTCCCCAGATCTGTGTCTCGACTCAATCCTGTCTCGGAGCTCTACGGACAATGTCTTTGACCTCATGGCTTGGTTTTTGCTCTGACATGCACTGTGGGACCTTTTATATAGACAGGTGTGTGCTTTTCCAAATCATGTCCAATCAATTGAATTTACCACAGGTGGACTCAATCAAGTTGTAGAAACATCTCAAGGATGACCAATGGAAACAGGATACGCCTGAGCTCAATTTTGAGTCTCATAGCAAAGGGTCTGAATACTTATGTAAATAAGATATTTCTGTTTTTTATTTGTAATAAATGTGCAAAAATGTCTAAACCTGTTTTTGCTTTGTCATTATGGGGTATTGTGTGTAGATCGATGAGGATTTTAAAAAAAATCCATTTAAGAATAAGGCTGTAACAAAACGTGGAAAAAGTCAAGGGGTCTGAATTATTTCCGAATGCACGGTATAATATTATAAATATTAAACAATTGTATTATCCATGCATATACAAAAACATTGTTTGGCCATATGTTATCTTAAAAAAAAAAAAAATCATGCTCATGAGTCATGCGGCCTCATGCCAAAATTACAGAAAATTATTTCACTGTCTTTTGGCTATGACTTCCAGACCCCTCCCACTTGAATTGCAGTGCCACTATTGCACAGTGTTTCTGTTTGGCAGCAAATGCATTTGATCAGTTTCCTAAGAACAAATTATTGGAAAATGTGATTTAATATTAAATATCATGTGTGTTTGGGGTTATTGTCTTGCTGGAATATCCACTTGCGGCCAAGTTTCAGCCTCCTGGCAGAGGCAACCAGGTTTTTGGCCAAAATGTCCTGGTACTGGGTAAAGTTCATGATGACGTTGACCTTAACAATTACCCCAGGACTAGTGGAAGCAAAATAGCCCCATAACATCAAAGATCCACCACCATATTTTACAGTAGGTATGGGAGTCTTTTCTGCTCATGCGTTCTCATACAGGGGCTCAGATGACTCTCTGAACGTAGGAACGAGGGAGAGCTCGGTTTTGTTGTTTTGAAAAGTTAGCTAACTGCCTATCAAGCTAGCTGTTTTTTTTTTTGAGGGCTTGAACGCAGCCTGCGATGCGGTTAGCCATTGTGGCTGGGACCGCGGATTGTTCCGGGTTTGTGGCTGTCTAGATCCCTGCTGTTTGTTTTCAATCTTCTACAAGCAGTTGATACAACAACAAGAAAATAGCTTCAAGTGTTTAGTCCAAATATTGGTGTATTCAACTAATAAAATAATGGACGACCTGACCAGAGAGGTCCAGGACCTGAAGAACAGTTTGCAGTTCTCCCAGGGTCAGCTCGATGAGTTGAAACAGGAGAACAACAAGATGACAGCAATCTGTAAGTCATTGAGAGAGGACATCAGTTCTGTGTGTGAATCCATGATAACAATGACGGATAAATCAGACTTGAGGGACAATCAAGGCGGAACAACATGGTTGTGGACGGAATTGCAGAATCTCCACATGAGACCTGGACGGAGTCTGAGGACAAAGTGAGGGAAATTGTCTTTGAGAAATTGAAGATGGATCACAGGAAGATTGAGGTGGAGCGTGCCCACATGATGGGAAAACCCACCACCGGCCAAGGTGACAGGCCCAGGCCGATAGTGGTCAAGTTCCTGAGGTTCAACGACAAGGTAGCTGTTCTGGAAAGAGCCAAGAACTTGAGAGGAACGTATATCTTCCTCAACGAGGACTATCCTGAAGCTGTTCGCCAGAAGAGGAAAGAACTTATCCCAGCCATGAAAGCTGCCAGAGCACGTGGGGACATTGCTTACATCCGCTATGACAGGCTCATTGTCCACCCTCCCTCCCAGAAGCCTGGAAGGGTTGAGAGAGCCAAGCCTATGGGTTCGTAGCTTCAACCCCGCAGCACACACACACACACACATACCAATTGATTAATGGACTGCTGGATGTATATATATTTTTATTTTGCTTTGTTTTCTCTTTTCAGTATTATGTCTATCTCTGATAAGCTACCCAGGAAAGGGCTGAAAATAGCCCATATTAATATATGTAGCCTTAGAAATAAGGTTCATGAAATCAATAACTTGCTAACATCAGATAACATTAATATATTAGCCATTTCTGAGACTTACTTAGGTAATTCATTTGATTATACAGCAGTAGCAATACAAGGATATAACATCTATAGAAGAGACAGAAATGCTTATGGGGGAGGTGTTGCTGTATATATTCAGAGCCATATCCCTGTAATGCTTAGAGAAGATCATATGTCAAGTGTTATTGAAGTGTTGTGGTTGCAGGTTCACTTGGCACATCTAAAGCCTTTTCTAAATATGTGTGAAACGCTTGATAGTGTATGTGATGTAAACAGAGAGGTCTACTTTCTTGGGGACCTGAATATTGACTGGTTTTCATCAAGCTGTCTGCTCAAGAGGAAGCTTCTCACTGTAACCAGTGCCTGTAATCTGGTTCAGGTTATTAATTAACCTATCAGGGTGTTTACAAACACTACAGGAGCAAGATCATCCACATGTATCGATCACATTTTGACTAATACTGTAGAACAGGGGTGTCAAACTCATTTTAGCTCAGGGGCCACATGGAGGAAAATCTATTCCCAAGTGGGCCGGACCGGTAAAATCATGGTATATATAACTTAAAAACAACAACTTCAGATAGTTTTCTTTGTTTTAATATGATCAACATAAAACATACAGCTGGAGCCTGAGGACAGTGTGTCCAAAATAGTACAAGCACAACATCACTATTAATCATAAAACACCTCAAGTTTATTTGAAAATTCTAAAGAAAAAGAACACACAATGCCTCAGTGATTAACAGAACTGTTTCACAGATCACAGAACTATATCAGGGTGTCATTTCTCAGGCAGAAATGTAGATAAAAATAATGAAATCCTGTTCCCCAAACAAGTGCAAGAACCACAGAGTCAAGAATAGGTTAAATATACAAATAAAATCAATTAAAAACAATAGCACATCAACATAAAAACATATAAACATAAAGCTGGAGCCTGAGGACAGTGTGTCCAAAAGCACAACATCACTATTAATCATAAAACACCAAGTTATTTGAAAGTTCTGAGGACAAAGAACACACAAACACACAATGCCTCAGTGATTCACAGAAGTATATCACAGATCACAGAACTATATCAGGGTGTCTCATGCAGCACTTTAAGTGGGGTTGCATAGTTTATTTGACTCCTGATACCTGGCATCTTTTAGCTTTCACCAGCACATCAATATCAGGCGTCACATCCTGAGTGGCAGCCAACTTCAGGATGTGATTCAAGTGCTTGTGCGTGAGCCTTGAGCACAGCTTTGTTTTATTTATGCTCATTACAGAGAACTAGCTCACAAAGATATGTGGTTCCAAACATGCACAACAGTTTTGCAGCGAGGGCTGTCAAGTTGGGGTAACCTGGCAAGAGATTCTGATAAAATGTGTCCAAGCCAGCTGCGGCAAATTTGCCCTTCAAATCCGAGTCACACTGCAAGTCTATTATTTCAAGTTGGATGCTGACGGGCAGATCAGAGGGATTCACGGTGAATGGCGAGCAAAAAACGTTGAAGTCTTTCTCCAGTTCACCAAAAATCTGAAAGCGTTGCTCAAAC